CCTATGCCAGCGCCTCAGCACCCTCACAGGGAAGAACTTCTTCCAAATATCAAATCTAAATCTTCTGACAGGTTAAAGCCATTCCTCTTGTCCCGTCCTTACAGGCCCTTGTCCAAAGCCCCTCTCCAGCTTTCATGTCTGCCCCTTTTAGGCACTGAAAGCTGCTCCAAGTTCTCTCTGCAGCCTAATGCACATCAGCCTCTTCCTCCCAATCCTCCAGGCGCACTCGCACTCACTTGTCAACGGAATGAAGGACTCCTCCGTGGTCTGCAACCTCCACTTCAGCACACCCACGTCACTGTTAATAGGGAATGACTTCTCCGGGTTCTTCAAACCAATCTGCGATTCTGTAGTGAAGAGCTTCTTGTCCACGTTTGGGTGAGTCTGAAAGGGGAACATATGCTCAGACTGCAACTCTGAGCCTAACGACAGAACTGTCGGTAGGCAACGCAGGCTCTTTGTAGGCAGGATGACACATCCCAGAGTGTTTTCCTTGACACAAATCAGTTTTGCTCCTGGCTCACAAGCTCAGCTGGAGCACATCTGCTTATCAACCTGGAATTCCTTCCAGAAAACACACCACTGCAGCAGCCACGCCAGCAACACATGTTCTGGGCCGACACCTAGAGAACAACTTTAACGACTCTTAAAACCTCAAATGCCATCCTGGAGACCCACAAAAGAAGAAAGACCAACCTAATGCTGCTGGGAACACCCTGAAACCACAAAAATCCTACTTCCCTCCACAACCTTAACACATTACATCAGCAGCCAAACTCAGTTTAAATATTCTCTCTGCAACAGCACATGTAAGCAGCTTTGTGGCAGCAGAGGATTTCTGCAAGTCAACCTTCAAGTTACGCTAGAAAGACAGGAGTCAGCACTGGGTTTGATCTTCTCTTCCACCCTTAGCAGCACACGTGGGAGCGTTGTTAGGAACTCCCTCATGAGATGTGCCAGTAAGGAACCTCCTAGTGTGTATGCCAGCAGCAGATAAGCCAGCCACATATAGACAAGCTCTTAGTGAGGAGGAGTAGTGAGAGAGCAAAAGAGTATACCAAAGGAGCATGATCTCCAGGGATCAGTAAGGCCACACAGAGTGCGAGAAAGGGGACGTGCCCCTCAGAATCTTCTGAGCTGCAATCGCCAGCTGCAGTCGTGGACTCCAGCAATTGCCTCCAACAGAGCAGTGATGGCACACAAGTGAGCCCAAGAGGTAACAAATTCATTCCTCAGCAGCACAGGACTTAATTCTCCCGCTCCCACTCCACAGCTAAAGCTCAGAACACACCAACGAACACCAAGCAACGCACCAGGTCGCTGGAAAGTCCCAGTGCGACCAGACGGCACCAGCAACGTGCACCACCGGGCAGATAAGGCTCCGAGGGCAGGGAGATAAGGGCACTAGCCTCGATTTCTCAACTGAACTTCAATCTTTCCAGTGTGAGCTGGCCCCATGTTCACACTGTGCTAATGCCTATGGTGACTACTCCCTTTTTCAACTCATGTACTGAGACAGCTGGGACACGAACGCAGGACACTGACACACTCACGTGTTCCCAGTATTATGCCCTGGAGAGGAGCAAGAGCATGTTTGAGAGCACAGGACACCAAGCAGACTTTACCTGTAGCTGCACTCCCCTCTTGTCCTCGTTTTCCACATGCAGGCGAATCCGTGCAAACTTCTCATCGGCAATGTGCAGCATGATCATGCCGTGCAGCTCCATGCTCTGCAACCCTCCGTCACGGCCGCAAGTCAGGGAGATTTTCTCCTCTATTTTCATGTGCACACTAGAAAGATACACAGACAGACAAACAGACAGAAAGTAGGTGTTGCAAGTGCTGCACTTGGCATCCAAGAGGCCAGATGAGAGAGCAGTGCTCTCTTGTTACTGCACGTAACAAGCCGGTGCTCCCAGGAGCGGAATGACCCCAGTGGAACAGCAGGGAGGGTGCAGTGGATGCTGACACTGCTCCGGTGGGTCAGCTCGGGGGCAGGCAGCTCCAGAGATGCGAGTCTGCACAGACAGAAGTGCAGATGAAGAGCAGTGACAGAGCATCTCAACAGGCCATTCACCCAAAACTCCTCTGCTCATAGCACTAGAAGCTTCTGAATTGCTACACATGAAATGAACCATGACCGTGGCCCATCCCAAGACACAACTCGGAAGGAATTCTTTGTCTGAAGAACAGAAAAATGGCAGCAATTTAAGGGAAAAAGGCATGGGAAAACTCCCAACCTCAGCTGGACAATGGATGTACATCCTTCTGAGGTGAGCTGTGTCCTAGTCAAAGGAGCTATCTGCTTTTTCCTGCTGCACTTCCCAAGGTTTTGCCCACCACCTTTTAAAATAACAGCCCGAGTGAGCGCACGGGACTTGAAGGGCAGGAAAAAGCCTGTTCTGAAAGTGAGAAAGGAAGCGAGCTCAGGAAGCCACATGTGCGCCACAGAGCACACAGTGAGGACACTGCTTCCAAAGCCAGGGCAGTACCTACCTCTCCATGTTAACGGGAGGAGCAAGAACTTTGGCTGCTTCCGTGGAGCGCTTCCCTACAGCAGTCAGGATATTTTCTCCTTCTGATTTCAGCTTGTCTACAAAGTTGTCCACCTCCTTCCCCTTGGCACCAAGTTTCAAGGCTTTACTGGGACCTGAGGGCCTGAAGATAAGGTGTAAGAACCTCCAGGTCAGCTCACGGTGACAGATTCCTCCTCATCTTCAAGTGCTGTAACCCGACTATCCCAACAAAACTACCTTCACCTCTGCAGCCTTTTTTCTGGGAGAACATGCTCAAAACCGATGTGTAGGCTGCGAAGTTCTAATTTAGGTTTGGATTCCCTTCTGTGTATTACCAGTAGCTGGGGCCTTTTTTTCTTACACAGGTTGTGGAGCCCTTCACCTCTCCAAGACTGAGGGAGGCTCTGGGATGCTACTGTGGGACACACCACAGATGCTCCTCAACAATAAAAAGGAGGGTTCCAAAACCGCACAACATACACCAGCCCACGAGCGACCGCATGGGGGCTCGGAGGTGACCACTCGCAGATGACCAAGGCTAAGGGGAGGCTTTACAAAGGCAGGACCATCTCCTCCCGTGCAGTAAGCTCCCAGGCAAGAGGGCTGCGCACACAAAGAACCTGCGCTGCAGCCTTTCCTGGGGCACCCGCTTCCAGCTCTGCTCGCTCCCTGCTGCGCACCCACCTGGCAGGCGCTGGAGCCACTTTAGGCTTCTCTGTCTCAATGATGGTCTCGGTGATCATGGTCGCTGTGGTGCCCCCAGACACGGCCACGCTCCCGAAGCCACCAAACCCAGGCGCCTTCTTGCCCTGCCTCTCCGCGTCCCTCCGGGCCTGCTGCAGCTCCTTGGCTTTACGGCGCATCTCAGCCTTTGCTTCGCGCTCCTGAGTCTGAAGTGAAAGACAAGGGGCTGACAGAGCTTTGCAACCTCAATCTAATTCTGCTCAGGAGCCAAGCGCGTTTGCCTGTAAACCCTTTGCGAAGCAAACGGGAACAAGAGATGGGCGCTTAGTTTACAGGAAAGCAAGATCGTTTCTGGGCCACTATGAAAGCAGAGCGGCAGCAGCAGCACCTCCCAGAGTGGGTACGAGGGGCCCAGCTCACAGTTAGTCCCGCTCACCTCTCGCACTGCTCGGAACACCTTTTCCTCATGAGACTCCATCTCTGTGAAGGTCCGAATTTGGGCCAGGTTGACATTCTCACGGTAGCCCAGGGCCACAATCTCATCAAAGGCAAAAATCAGGTCGAAGCAGTGCTCGGAGATCTCGTTCTCCTCCAGAGCTCGACAATATTCGGGGATCTGGACAGGAGGAAACATTTTGAAGGAGTATCTGTAGACAACACCGTATGAACGCTTTCTTTGTATTCCCCCCAGACTTCAAAGCAGCGCTAGACCCTCCACAACCATTAAGCTGCTCTTCAGACCGTTATGTTGCTGATAAACAAGATCAAGCCTTGTCACGGTTGGTTTTACTGCACTACAAAACCTGGACAACCTCTTAGCTTCTCTGGAACGCTAACTCAGAGGAACCTAAACACACGCTGAGGCCAGTGAAATTCCTGAGGAGCCTTGAATACCGAGAATACTTAATGCTAACTTTAGCAGTCACCCCTTTGGCCTTGCCAGCGGAGCTGCAAGCAGGAACTCTGCAGGAAGCGAGGGATCCTTAGGTCCTTACCACTCTGGAGAAGAGTCGGAGTGTTTCCAGGTCTTCCAGGATGTTGCTGTTCTTGGTGGTGATCAGCACCATGTAGAGCTTCTCCATGGGCTGATAGACGTACCGCACGCTCTCCGTCTCCACAAACGTGTGCTGCTTCCCTGTGTTCATGAGCTTGGGGAACGCCGCCAGCAGCCCCTCAATGCGGGTGCGCGTCATCTCCACGAACTGCCGGGACACGATGGCCTTTCCCGCCTTGGTGCACACGGCTGCTGCCAACAGCACCTGCGGAGCAGGAGGAGGGTGAGTGAGTGAGGGCAGGTCAGGGAGAGGGGCACCGCGACCCATCCCGCCTTCACCCGTACCTACTGCACCCCCGGCTCAGCCTCCTCCACCACCACCAGGGGCTGAGCTATGCTCCAAGCAGACTCACCTCCGCTTTGCTCTCTGCTTTCTGTCACCCTGACCAAGAGCACGGCAAACCGGCCCATTCACACACACACACACACCCACCCACCCCACCCCGGAGGTGGCACAACCCACCCAGAGCTTTGGGGAGGCTCCGGGTTATTGAGCATCTGCTCAGACACCTTCCGTTCCCTCGCGCTACCCAGACCTC